ATTACAGGAGGGAATTGCACTCAGCTGGTGGTCATTAGGCTTCTTTCCAGACTATAAAAAGCTACTTGTGCACACGGCCCCCTTTGCAGAAGTCAACACAGGATTTAATGTCGGAGGAAGGAAGAAGGAAATAAAGAAAAAAAGAAAGAAAAAGTGAGAGAGAGATGAAAGAAAAAAAGGAAAAAGGGACAGAGAGACAAAAGGAAGGAAGGAGAGAGGGAGAGGGAGATAGAAAGAAAACACCTGGCCAGCAAGCCACTAACACCAGGTCACATGGCCAGCAGGCCACTCCCACAAAGGAGGCCACACCCACAGAGTAGGTTCGAAAATTTTTTGAAACCCACCACTGGCCAGAAGAGACGGGCATCTGCTAGGTAGATATATTTTCTCTTTGGATATCTTGCCTGACTATTATTAGCTAGCATTAGAAAAGTAAGAATACATCATTCCATTTGTACCCACAAGAATGATAGCAAATTATGTATACTAGATGGAATATCTCACTAGATAGTGATGAGCTGGAGTCAATAGTGTTGCCACTGATATAAGCGATGTGGTGTTTTCAGGGTGGCATGATACTCAAACTTCAGCAAGGCTCACAACTCAATCATTCTTTTTTCATACCGTTGATACTTCTGGCTCTCCCGCTCCCCTATACTCTTTGCAATAGTACCTGTTGTTTGCTATCATTCCTCCTCAGTTTGCTAAGGCTATGCCTCTCTACAAAGACTCTCTTAGAATGCCATCAGTCTGCCTCCTTCTCATTACACCATGTCTCTATCCTTTCCATTCTCTTTCCTTATCCTTGTGATGAAAAGAAACACACTGATATTCTGCAAATCCTCAACGTGATCCTGCAGACAATTCCTCTTGGGAAATCTGCAACACAGTCTTGCTGAATTGAGTCATTTTCATTTCTGGGTGGATTCCAGATTATAGCCTCGCTTAGGGTCCACAGCTATTAATTTAATTTTATTCAATTTAAGCATCTTCTGATTCCAGCCAACTCTGGGTAGCATGCCATAAAAATGACAGCATAAGAACAGAATACAATAATTACAAAATAATACAAGAACTAGTGTTAGGTCCAGTCAACCATAAGCCACATGCAATCCGGGAAAGGTCTCATCTGTGCTAATCCAAGGCCTGGGT